GTACATCCCTGTATATCGGTGTATGCCCGCCTCACTGTCTTTGCTGTTCTCTCACCCTTTCTTGTCAGCGTGTTGTGAGTGGTGAGATAGCGGGTTAAATTTTAATGGTGCTGCCATCTCTCAGTAGCTTCTGAGAGAGGGCCGATGCAGACTGACACACTCACTGAGCCGTGAGAAGAGACAAGGCGGAGAGAGGAGGGATAGTTTGCTAGACATGCACACACACACGTTAGACCACTGTATAGACAACAGGTAGAATTATGAAGGTGCTTCCCCTTGTACTTTATCGTGTTTTCAAGAGAATCTCATTGACTTCCCTTCTAGCAAAATCAGTTGTTTTTACCACTTCTGTCCTGTGGTCAATTTAACTGGTCGTTTTCAAAGCTATCAGTGTTTCCAGTGTAGAGCCTAAATACACCAGTGCCCTAAATTAAAACACTGCAAATTACACCCAGGTCAGGTTTTAAAGGTAAGGAGTAAGTCTTTTCAGAATTTTCATTTTGCTCACTCTTTAGTACAAGGTAACAGGATGTGTTCTAAAGCATGGGCTCCTTTTCTGAAAATGCCATGCTTGTTATCAATCACTTTTTCTTGGAGGAAATATCTCTCCTCACACACGTATCCATTCCCTCTAGGAATGCATTAGGTGAGCATGGAGGCTGATCTGAACTCAGTCGAGTAAGGACTTGCACATAGCACATAGGCACATTCTCTGAGCCATAATGTGTGTTCTTCCTTGATTGTTTTCATTCGCCCAACCTCACATACCACTCTGATTGGCAACACATCCCCTGATGGCTCACTAAGCACATGGAGGGATTAGGTGTGTATTTTTGTGTAAACTGTGTTTTTGTCTTTGGTTATGTGTGCGTCTTTTTGTTTAGCATCAACCTCAGCCAATTCCTGAGAGAGGCCAGCAGACAGATGTTCTAGGAGAGGATTTGCATGCCTGTTTCTCTGTTTGAATGTGTGTTTCTCTTGTTTAGTTTATTTTTTTCAGGGTTGGGGGCTTTTCCCCTCTTTAGGGAAGGGGTTAAAACGGAATTCACGTATTGGAAACCCGGCAATTTCCCAGTGGATCTGTGATGAGACAGACTTTTCCCCAGGTTCCCACGTAGAGGTGCAGTATGCCAGATCTTGGTTGTCATCCCCTCCAGCTGCTCGGTTTGACTATGATCTCTGTTTTTTAAAGTATTTCAAATACCTACAATAGTTTTCCCAAAGTTTGTGCAACAAAGAGTGGAGTTTTTATGTGGAGATGCAAAGAACTGTCTAAAGCATTCTCAAAGGTTTACTGCTCATGCTGTTTTTAAAAGATTTAAAGCTGTAAATTGGATTTTGGAGCTCAGAATTCTCTGCATCTCAAATCTTCTTGTTAAACTTTGTTTGGGTTTTACATATACTTTTTGCCCATCAGTTTACACTCAGTCCTTAACCCTTTACCTATTGAAGCTAATAATGGTAATTTTAAAATATTTACCCTGTTGCAATCAACATGTGCTAAAAACAACATATGCCCCTTGCATGTTTCCAGGAAGCATCCCTCACATCACTGTCCTCCTCCCTGAACCGTAGAGGCTGTTTGCAGTCCTTGTTGGGCCCACCAGCATTAGAAATGAGTGTAATTACACACAGACACACAAATAGAGCTATATAACAAGAATTTTAAATAAACTTCAATCTTTTTTATCTCTCATCTTCCATCACAGTTGCAGTTTGAGCTGGTCAGTTCCACTTTTTAAAAAAATCATACCATAAACCATATATTGACAGAAATCACACATTCTCTTTTAGTGTTGGAATTTGTAAGACAGAGTTACAATAAGGATACTCTGGGAATATGAACACAGTTCTATGGCTGTAACTAAAGGGCTAAAGCTAAATGAAAGTAGTTTTTTTTCTGTAGTAAAATGTAATCAGCAGCATCCTGCTTGCTTGAGTTATTCTTCGTATGCCTAAAATCTTATTCTCGTCCACTTCCCGAAAACTCTTTAGACCCCTGTTATGAATTTGTGGCACAGGAATAGATGCAGGCAAGTGTGTGAAACCATTTCTGAATCTTTTGGGTGTTGCCAGGAGCACAGCAGCCACAATCACTGTGAGCTGTTGGAAGTTTGGAACTGTGAGGACTCTTAATAAGAGCTGGCTAACCAGCCAGACTGAGGGACAGATCCTCAGGGTCTCTGTCACTCTAACAGCACTTCAAAAGTCCTTTACATAGATTGTAGAACCTGCCAGAAGGACTAACATCTTGCAGCACTTTATGACAGATGCTTTCGGTGGATAGATAGAAACCACTCATGGAAAAAAAGCATATATTATGTTTTAAGTTATATTAGAATAATTCTGAAAGCACAAGGGTAAATTCTCTGGTCTGTAGAGGCCAAAAGACTGTCAAACACTGTATCTGGCATATAACAGACACAGCTTATTTCCTTGCTAAGAAGATCTCCACAGTGAAGAGGTATTGTGGCACCGCCATTCGTTTGGGGTTGGTGGAAGGGGAAGGGAGGAAGGTTGAAACAGAGGTATTAAGGAAATGATCCAAATGCAGAAGGATCATTGAGAAGCATCTGTTTTAATGTGTACATGAAATGAGACATAGGGAGAGGCCATCCATGGAAAGACCTGAAGATTACACTTCACTGACTTTCTCTACAGCCTGATAGACCTCTCAAGGATCTTCCAGTAGAAATGTGGCTCATCAGTTGACTCGACAAGGAATCAAAACTATCATTTCTGATGGAGTAACTTCTGAAAGAATCAAATGTCTAACTTCTTAGTATTTACAAGACTGGTGGTCGAAAATAGACTTGCATTATTTCTTTGAAATAGTGCTTTATCTAAAGAATGAAATGGTCTAAAAACTTCAGATGTATGTCCCTGTTGAGCGCTGGAACTGTTATCCTCCCATTCTTCTTGTCCGTTTTTGCATTCCAGCTAAGATTTGCTGCCATTTCTCTTTATTCTGCCCGCATGTATTTTTGCTGTCGTATCTCTTTTTTTCTGGAGAAAAACTGACATATTTTTTCCTTTCCTCCATTCCACCGCTCAATTTCTTGGATTCATCTTGTTAAGACTGCTGGCTTGGGGGGAAAAAGAAAAAAAAAACCCTCAGTGACATCACCAGAAAACTGCCAGACCTTTTTGCCTGCAGTCAAACACTCAAGTGTCTATGTATGTATGAGTGTGTCCTGCGGGTAGTGGCTGACATTAAAGAAAGGCAAAATTCCCCATTTCCTCCCAGCCCCCTCACTGTGTCTTCCTCAGGGGATAATCAGACCTAGCAAAACTGGCCCTTGTCCTTCTCCCCGCGACACTTGTGTATTGCGCTCCTATGTGCATAAGTGCATGTGTGCCAGTCTTTCCAGCATGCGGTCAAGTCACAGTTGCTAATCAAGCCTTTGAGCTTTGCCTGAGGAAACCAAGAGAAAGGGAAGGGGGAGGAAGGGTGGGCAAATGATTGAGTGCTTTCCTTTGTCCTCATCACTGAAGCAGAGATAAAGATGAGTGAAAGGATGGATGGTTGGAGATGAGAGGACAGAAACTGAGGGATTAACAGGATGAGAGTGAGCACCAGCGCGGCGACGCACTTTTAACTGTCCTCCATGGCATGACACTGTGTAGACCTCCAGTTCTCTGTGTCCTCATTTTCTTTGTTATTCTTCTGCTTTGCATAAGTCAGAACTGTATGTATTCATAGTGTCTCTCTGTCACATCCCCCCCCCCACCACCATCCTTGCCTTGCTCCCACTCAGTCTGCTACCTTTCCATAAGGTAATAATTTGAGAGCTGACAGGAGTGCAGTACCTAATCCCTTTTGCCAAGGGCACAATGTGCCTCATGGGTCACATTTGTGTCAGAGTTCATCTAACTTTTTAATTGAGATGGAAACTCAATTTCTAAGTTTTCATTTCCACTGCCATGCTCACATAAATTAGATTTTCTGTATTGATGTGCATGTCATAGCAGCAGTTCGGATGAACAGGACATTTGACTGTCGTTGGCAGTGCGTGTGCATCAGGAGGTCAGGTACCATTCGACAATTTAAATGCCAGACTAAATTATATATCCAAAAGTGTATGAAATGTAAATCCAATTTATCTAATGGAGGGAACGGACTTATCAGTACCACTTATCTTCTCATTTTAAGAGGCCACATGAATGGTTGTAAGAATAATAATCCCATCCATCAATAAGACACACACAGATGTGAACAGTGTCTCTAAACGTCGCTGTACGCTATCCACACGTTGAGGAACGAGGATCAGGGTTGATTGATAAGAGAGCTGGGTTAATGATGTAATTCACTCCGCTCTCCGTAGAGGGAGCTCTGCTGTGAAGGCCAGTTCAGTATCAAGGGCATTCACACTCTGAATAACAAACACCGTAGAGCCACAGAGAAACTACTCTCATACTCAGTGAGTCACTCTCTTAGTCAACAGGACACACACAACTGGTTCGTGTGTCTGAACAGTGAACCTTTTGTGTTCTATCTGTGTATTGCATGAAAGGCTCAGGTGTTGCAGGTGACTCAAGGTCACTTCCTCATCATCTTCGTCCTTAAAACTTCTCTGTCTCGTCCATTTCTCTCATGGTCTCAGTTTTCACACCTTTATTTGTTCTCGCTCCTATTCATTTGATTGCCTTCTCCGCTCTACACTCTTTAGCTCTCCCACACTCCCTTCCTCTCTCCTCCTTGTAATTAGCCAGTGTAATTGCTGTAGTAAATCTTTTCTGATGTCCCAAGGAGACTGGCTGATATAGGACTGATTTAATAAGCACACCAAAGCAGCTCACCTCTCCCTCTGCGCACGTGCGTGTGCACTGTGGGGCTCTGTGTCCTCTGTTATTTGCTATGGGGATTTATTGGCTGTTTGTGTGGTTTCAGCAAGTGCAAATTCAAGTTCAAGGTAATGCTGTGTCGATGTGTCGACTGTGGTGCACCTTATCAGCAATGCAGGAAGCATACTCTGCGCAAGGGTGTGTGTATCTCATCAATGATGCCGACACGTGCCATGTGTGCGTCATCGCTGAAGACCTTCATGGCCAGAAGAGCAGGGAGAGGTCAGATTGGTCCAGAGAGAGCACGACTAACACACACTCACTCAGTGACCATGCCTCTGTGCGCCCTACAGTATGATATATACATAAACACAAGCATAATGTTCTTCTTTTAACTTTGTTCTCATTTGCCTTTCACCTACACACAAGTACACAAGTTAGATAGATGGCATGATGGAGAATGAAGGTAATAAACTGTATCCTGGTGTCATCCAGCAGCACTTTACCAGGTGGGCCAGTGGAGGGCACTGTGACTCCACACATAAACAGGGTCTTCACTTAGAGTCCCACACTTTCTGCCTCCTTACTTCACATCACAATACATTATCTTAACAATGGTGAGAATTAATATCCTCGCATGGGTTTCATCTCTTCTTTTTTTTTTTTAAGTGTATATAGACATGCTTTTTAGATAAGATCTTCAATCATGGCTGTAATGAAAGCTTATCAAAATAAATCTTAGTTGATGCAATGCATTGAACTTGTCAACAAAGTAATATGATTCAAGAAAATAGTTATATCGTTTCTCAAAGATGGGGGACTGTTGGATCTTCATTTTGAATTTGATAAGATAAAACTAATTTAATTTCTGTTGTTGATAAATTGGTGCTGAGATAATCAATATATTTAAGTTTTTAAAAATGTTTCACTGTGCTTTCAACATTCATTCAACTGTTTCCAACCAAAAACTACATTTTATTTCATTTAAAAATGTTTCCTTGTGCAATAAAATATATTACAATTGGGATATTCATTCTCTGATTTTGTTAAAGGACTCTTCATTAGACACCAGATCAGGTGTGAATGTCAACTTAAATTAGTCTCTTTAGTTTTTCTATTGATATTCTAAGTGTTGATGTTTCCCCTTTTCTGTAATTTTAATACTAATCTACTGTGATATTTCTCACTTTGACCAGTTAAAATAATACCAACTGCAGTTACGTTTTTCATGCACCAGGGGAGCGCAAGTGAGCACAGTCTTAACCCCGCCCATATACCCTCCCCCTGCATTCCGGCCCTCCCATATCCTGCCCCCGTCCCCCCTCCTTGCTGCCCCACCCTGCCATCTGGTCCTTTTCACACAATTGCAGACACATGCTCACTGAGACACACACACACACACACACACACACAGTCAGGAATCTTTTCTCCTCATTTCCTTTCACGGTGAAAAACAGGATGAAGGGGCTCTTTCAGACCCAAGGTTACCGTGGAAACCCCCCTATTCTTCTTCTGTCAAACACTCTCACATAGTAGCACACACTTCTGTATAGAGAATGACAGAATGTTGAACATTTTAAAGTTTAAAGGGACCAGCCAACAGCTGTCCTTCTGTCTGCCATAGGTTTGGCCTTCTGTTGACTTTTCACAGAGAACTTTATGCATTTTCTTCTTTCTCTGTTTTCTCTTCTTATCAAGAGTTTAACATTGATAAGGGAAACCTTCCAAATAGAACACCATGAGTTGTTCTTTTTAAGTGTAATATACTCAGTTCCATTTAAAGGCTGGCTAAAGATTTGTCTGTGTGTGCGTGTGTAAAGATTTGTTTGTGTGTGTGCAGTACTTTCTCTGAAACTAATTCGGCAAAAGTTTCCATGGAACTATTCAAGCTTAACATTCAACCCCCTCCTAATTTCTTTGTAAGACTATTCGCAGCCTTGGAATGCAAAGTGGAAAAAGTTAGTTTGAAGTTATATAAAGTTAATGTTTTCTTTTACTCTATCTTGCCACTAGAGGGCATTTGGAAAAGTATTGATGCTTCAAATCTACAATGGAGCACATCATCTGAAAGCTTTTAGTGTGTTAAAAATAAACTGTAGCCCTCCACAAACAGGGAGTGGTGATGGTTGGATGAATAGGTCACATGAAAAGAAGCAGTAGCAAAGGGAAGGCTACGCTTTGTGAAGTTGATGTTGTAATTCAAAGTTGAGATGTTTTTACTCTTTCTTTGCCTCTATTTTTAATCAGCTCATTCTTTTTCTTACCATCTCTCCATTTATTTCCCCCCCTATATCCTCTAATCCTCTAAGGCTACCATCTCATTCGCCACCACACATTTTGTCCTTTTAAGGAGTGAGGAATGGAAGGGAATTGGAGGGGGTGAAGGACACACTCGGGTCTGCTGACTGATAAACAGACTCTTCTTTGTGCAGATACACACACACACGCACACACACACACACACACACAGATACTTAGTAACATATTGACTAAAACCTCAGCATGATTTGGCTCCTCATGATTCTGCTGACCCTTCCTTCACTTCCTCTCTTTTTCCAACTTTCTGCATTTTTTAAAGTCACTCCACTTAATTTAAAACAGAAGTCTGGAGTGAAAGAATTTCTTGTCATGACACACTCATGTGTGCGTGCATACACACATGCTTTTTTCCTTCATCTCTCAGTGCCAAGCAGCTGTTGGGGAGACGAGGGGGGGTTGTTCCAGGAAAAGATGAGTGCGTGTGTGTTGGAGGGGTGTTGGTTTGTTTCCAGAAAGGGCCTTCTTTGTGTGACCATATAAAAAAAAGACAGCTGAAACATTTAAACATGTGGATGTCAGGATGTCAGTGTACCATAATTCTCTATGTTCTTGATTTATGTGTTTGTGTGTTTGAATTCGGTCCCCTGTGTGTGTGCTCTGCTTCCCTCATCTCCCTTCCTCCCCCACAGTGACTAAGTATAACAGGATGCAGCAGTCCATAGCCACCACAAGAGGTGCCATCAGCTCATAAATGAAAGAACTAACTGCATGTGGGAACCACAGAGCAGCCATTTTACAATCCGCACACCAGCCCCCATTTTCTGAATCGCCTATGATGTCAACAAAGCTACATCTGCTTCTATTGGCTGGAGCGCAGCTGTGCATTTACACGCATCCTTCCTGTCTGGCTTATGTCGCTCTGACACACACACACACACACACACACACACACTGACCTCATGACGGGAAGCCTCCACTAGGTCACCAGCTCTGCCCCACAGTAACTGGATTGCCACTCAGAGAGATTAGGCATGATACAGATTAGATGTTCATCTGTGCTGTGATGTTTACTTATCTTACATGTTTGCCTTTTTCTATATGTTTCTTTTTAATGGATATATTAAATTATATTTTTTTCTGTTGGTATAAGCTCTTGTAGATCTGCCTGAATTAAATACAGAAGTAAGCATCCCAGGATGTTCTGTCTTGATGCTGTGGATCACTTTGGGTCAATATCCGTTTCCCTGTTTGTGGTTCAGTGGGTAGATGTATACTTGTTAAAGCTCTGTTGCTGGCTTTGTTCTTGTAGCTGCGAATAGTTCAGTTTATGTGTTTGTACAAAGATGCTAAGGCTATTTCCTCCCAAATATCCTAATAGACTTCCTACACTGTGTGTGTGCTGTGACTGGCTTCCTGATTTAGTTTCCTGTTCCCAGCAGGAGCTGTGAACACAATCGTGCTATTTGTGGTACTATACTTATGAAGCAAAGTTTACAGAAACCTTTGATATGAACCTCACCTCATCCAGAATTTATAAGGCTGAAGTTAATAATGAGATAACATGTTGCAGCTTAAAGGCCACAGTCCACTGACAGGCTGTTCTGTGTGTATGTATGTGGCTAGATGAAGAGATGAGGCCCTCATTAGCAGCACAAGCTCGTTAACAGTCTGTCCAGCTGGCCGACATCTCTCATCTAGACAAAGCACTGTTTGACTGGACATATGGACAGGCCAGCAGATGAATGGATGAGTTGTTGTGCTGTTGTGGTTAGCTGTGTGTGCGTGTAATGTTATAGTACTGCTGTTGGGACTAGACTTTAGAATAAAACCAAAACTTCCAAAGATGAATAGAAATGGCATGTGCATAACTGAAAGCTGGGGTAAGGAGAACCTTAAGTGCTCTTGTGATTAAGAAAAGCAAGACTAAGTCTGCATCTTGTTTCACAAGACAGAGTAGTTTCTTCACAGATATTTTTTCTGCTATTGAACAGCTGTTATTATCAGGAGTTGTCATTGCATTAGTTCTTAGAGAAACGGACCAGCTACACGAGACACTAGCTGGTTTTGACGTCTTTTGATCCCTTGTGACAAAATGCTGACACTGCATGCCATACCAATAGCGTTGTTGCCTTTCATTCCAGCACTTTCTTCTTGCTGCCTTTTCATACACAGATAAGGCAGGGACGAGGTCACACAGGGACTGATAAGTCTGACATTTAGATGAAACTTAAACTGGAGGTCAGCATTCTCTTTATCGCACTTCAAGATGCACAGTCAGCAGAAGAAGAAGTTGAAATGCCTTTTTCTTTTGTTCCTTGCAGTGATTTTAGAATTTTTTGTCAATTCATGTTTTCAGGTCTTATGACATACAGCAAATAAACTTTGTTAATATTGATGCAAACTCGAAAACTGCTGTGGCATTCAAAACTCTGCTAACCTTAGACCTAATGTTCCTGGATGCAGCGTGCTATTATATGGTCAAACCCATGTGATTATTCATCTTTCACTCCTAATTCTCATCTAGTACAAGCACACCCCCACAACCTGACACATCCTTACAGTCACAATTCTGACCTTGTCAGACCAAGTTAATGTAAAGTGTTTTTGTCGTGTGTGTGTGTGTGCGTGATAATATGGAGTGTTAATGCACAAGCATAAGTTGACTGCAGTCTCAAAAAGCCTTCCAGTTAGAAATGTCTGACCTTATTTAAAAAGCCCCACACTCACCAGTGACATGTTTCCCCAAGTTTTACAGCCATATCTAGTTGGTTCAGTCTTACCCAAGGCTGCTGATGTTAAAAACCCAACACCTACATGACATCATACAGTTGGCACAAGTGAGAAAAGTTAAATCTGTGCCAAGTCTGTCAGTGGTTATATCCATCACTTAGGCCCTCAGTCCACCCCTTTAGGTGGATTTTTGGTTTTGTGGAGTCCTCTGATGTAACTACTATAACTCTTTTTAATGTATGTCTATTTTCTTCTAAGTGCATTAATAAAGGCACGACAAACTGAGTTTGCTCTTTATGTTAATTAATGAAATCCTCTCTGTCTTTTTCATTAGCTAAAAAGGAGCAAGATGGTGGAGATGAAAAGAAGCCTGTGCAGAAGAAGAAGGTGAAAGAGCTGAAAGTTCTTGACACCAAGTCTTCACAGAACCTCTGTAAGTCAGCTTAACTGATAACATTACTTTAGTGGCTCTACTCTTTGGGTATATAAGCTTATTTTTTCCATTTGAATACAGAAGCTCAAACAACAGTTTTTTCCAGTGAGTTTTGTCGTTCATTGTGTTTTGCTAACGCAGCCATATTCCTGGGATCCTTCCGTGTCCCTTATGAAGAGATAAAGAATGCCATCCTGCAGGTTAATGAGAAGATCCTGACAGAGTCCCTGGTTCAGGTACCTCATTCAGATCATTATGCTACTGTGGGGGAAAAAGAATTCTGCTATTTATTCATCTTTGTTATGACAGAAAATAGAATTTTGAAAATTGGATATATAGATATAATAAATTAATATAAGAACCTTGTTTGCTTGACCTTTACTCCAGTAATAACAGTCTCTACTTCAGTGGAACCTTCATAAAGCAGAAGGGCATTTTATTTCATTACAACTAACTTTTGGTCTGCAAAAAAGTGCAGTTGTTTTTATTTTACAATAGATCTATTAATGACGTTCTAAGACACTGATCACAACTACATTGGAACAATGGATTAATTGAAGCTAAAAATGTATCATCCGAAGACAAATTTATATTTCCTGTTTATTCCACCTAGAACCTGATCAAACAACTGCCAGCACCAGATCAGCTGAATATTCTGGGAGAGATGAAGGATGAATATGATGATTTGGCTGAGTCTGAGCAATTTGGAGTAGTGGTAAGAAGACTTACACAGACACATACACAAATGCATTAACTATTGCCATTAGTTAATAGTCATCTATTCTGGTAAGTTACATTAATGGTGATTTTAATTTTTATAGGTAAACCTTTTTTTCCAAAAAAGGGAAAAACAGGTTTACAGATATGATTTTGAGTGGAGGCTGTTCAGAAGCTCCAATATAATTAGGAGAACTGTTCCCCCAACCCACATACTCTTAGTTTTTCGCCCTCTCACACACATCTACACTAAATTCTCCCATTCTCTGGTTTGTCCAGATGTCCGGTGTGAAGCGGTTGATGCCACGGCTCCAAGCCATCCAGTTCAGGCTGCAGTTTGAGGAGCAGCTGAACAACATTAAGCCAGATATTGTGTCTGTGACAGCAGCCTGCGAGGACCTGAGGAAAAGTGAAACCTTCTCCAAGTTGCTTCAGATCATCCTCCTTGTTGGAAATTATATGAATGCTGGCTCCCGCAATGGAAAGGCATTCGGCTTTTCTATATCGTATCTGTGCAAGGTATGATACTGAAATACAAATGTGTGACAGACAATGGGAGTGAATCAATGTGCTGGAAATACATTTTCTTTGATTAAGACATTTGATCTAAAGAATAGATGAAATGTGTGTTTTAGGTGAAGATATCTCCAAAGTTTTAGTCTAGTTTATCAAGAGCAGACGTATAAACAGTGACTGAAACTCAATACATGTAGAGATTATATAACGTTGGTCTGACTTCATTTTTCTAAAATCAATTCTTCTTTCCATCAGCTGCGTGACACCAAATCAGCTGATCTGAAGCAGACACTGCTCCATTTTCTGGCTGATGTGTGCCAGGAGCAGTATCCCGATATCATGAGCTTTCCTGATGAGCTCATCCATGTGGAAAAGGCCAGCAGAGGTATTTGGGGCATCCAACCTGTGTCTGTTAAACGTAGTTAAACATTGTAGACATTATATAGATAAAGTGTGATACCATCCTTTGAAATGTTGTTAAAACCTAGTCATTATACAAAAACTTTTATTTATATATAATATAATTTGTATGATAAGACTTTTAAAATTCAGAATTTATGAATGAATGATTTACTCAACATATTTTTTTCACAGAAATATACACAAATTAGGTATAACATTAATATATATCCATCATCAGTTTGACATCTTTATTTTCAAGTTTCATATTCCTCATATATCCTGAATTTTAATGCTGTGCAATGTAAACGTTCTTCTTTTTTGTGGCAGTTTCTGCTGAGACACTTCAGAAGAATCTGGAACTCATGGGCCGTAACATCAAGAACTTGGAGAAAGATATAGAAACTTTCCCCCCTCCACAAAATGACAAGGACCTTTTTGTGGAAAAGATGTCCATATCCTCCTCATTCAGTTACTTAATATGGTTATTTGTTTGTTTAGTTTTTTTATGAATGTTTTTCTAAAGATACAGTACAAGTTCTATGTGCCTTAACAGCATATCTTCACAGCTTTGTGAGCCATGCCAAGGAACAGTTTGAGAAGCTGGATCTGTTGCACAAAAACATGGAGAAGCAATACTTCGATTTGGGAAACTATTTTGTCTTTGATCCGAGAAAAATGTCAGTGGAGGAGTTTTTTGGAGATCTTAACACCTTCAAAAACATGTTCCAGGTGTGTTTCTGTGTGGTTGAGATGTGAATGAACAGAATGAGGTGTGACTTCCTTTCACTCAAATATATCTCTTCAAGTACAAAAGGCACCTGTCAGACAAAGATGAGAAGCAGCTGGTGACTGTGCACCTGTCTTTGTTGTCATATTGAAAAGGATGTGGGCCTTTTTTTTTGTGTGGGGTGTGGTAACTTGTTTTACGTGCAACAAAGCACAACTGCCAACCTTTTTATTTAATTTATTATGAATTTCTTTTAAAGATATCCAAATGAAACAACAATTCACAAAAGTTATTTGTATGTGTCCATAGTCTGATATCTTTTTTCTATTTCTCCCTCTTTCCATTCCACAGGAAGCGGTGAAAGAGAATCAGAAGAGGAAGGAGGCTGAAGAGAAGATCAAGAGGGCCAAGCTGGCCAAAGAAAAAGCACAGAAGGAAAAGGAGGAGAAACTTAAAAGGAGCCAGGTTCTTGACATCAACGCAGGTCAAACGTGCTGCCATTATATCTCTATACCACCGTGTGGTATCTCTTTGTATTTCCCTCAGTTTCCTGTTGGGGGCAGTCAGAGTCCACACTTCAGTGGATATTTGTGTGTGTGTGTTTTGTATGTGTGTGTGTAAAGATCAGCTCATCAGTATTTATAGACCACAGTTAATCTAATGTTGATGACCTGTTTTGAAGTAAGCTGGTATCAATGAAGCTTCACATAAACCGGGGACAAGGAAGATGTGTGCAAGAAACTGCTTGACCTCTTTTCATGCCTCTAGAAACCGGGGAATTTTTTTCTCCTTCTCTGTAAAAGTGAACTGAGAAAAAAGGCTTTAATCTCTTTATCAGCAAATGCATATCCCCCCTCTCCTATGACACCATGTTATATTGAGAGGCTTGTAGTTTATTGTCCCATCAAACATACAACCATGACCAGTATCTCATCCTCGTGCTTACGCATTTCGCACTCAAATCCTGCCTTCCAGACACACATTTATGCACACAGACCTTTTTCCCTTCCTCTCAGACTGTGACCTACTTTCAGTGCATTCCTCCTCTTTCTGGCTCCACTTGCATTCTCCAGAGACTCTTCTGTTCCATGCTCAAAATTCTGTTCAGCCTCAGTACATTCTGTGTGTGCTTATGTTATGAATGATCTTTTCTTACAACTCTTTCTGTTTTGCTGTGCCCATGTGTTAGAGAAACCTAGTGTTGGCTCAAAAATATGTGCCTGGGAGTGTGTACACGTGTTTTTTTAAAGCCTTAGAGTCAAAGTCATTTTGGCCTTTGTGTGAGGTATATGTTTCTGCTGGCAACTCCTCTTCTCTCTTTTCTCGGTTTTAGTCCATCACTCCCACTTATTCTTTCCCTCCTCGTGTTTTTGTCATTCATGTAAACAGTGTTTAAAAGAAAACCGAGGCCCCATCGGGGATTTTATTGTCTTTTGTTAAAAGTATGAAGCTTTTGTGGCACAGAGAGTAAAGTAGTTAAATTTCATCTTCATCCTCTGTGCACATATGGTAGATAATAGTGCTTCAAGGTTAGTGTGTGTGGTTGTTGGACAGAGATCATTTACATACAGGTGGCAGATTTGACTGCCACTGCTGCCTGGAGTCATTCAACACCCCTATTTGAATTAATCTACATACAACTCTGGCGTACACAAACCTGTTCTTGGTTCTTGTTTGTTTATATATCATGCTGAAAAGCTGGCCATTTTGAAGGTTTCCTTTTTTCTGTAATCTCTCACTCTTCTTTTCCCCTCTACATACCATTACGAATCCGATCAATGGGCCAGTCACTGTTTTTCTCTGTAAAGACCAAGCCTCAGTTGTTTGTTTAAGCCTGGGGGGTTACTATATTTGCAGTTTGTGACCTTGTCATTCCTCTCTGAGTCACATTGATTTAGCAGAGTTTGCACATGTTTTAAGCATGTTATGGTACTTAACTATCAATGGCTCATTCTGCTGAGAGCCTAGAAGTCTCTCTCACAGAGCACATTTCAGAACATACTTTTCATTATTTAAGTTTCAGGGTAGTAAACTCGCCAAGTGTCCTTATCCCACAACCAAAGGCTCCAATTGACCATATGTGCGTCAAAAGGGATGCATCATTCCATTTGAAAAAAGCAGATTCAGCTGGCTCTCAGAGGCCCATCTACAAACACCTACTGTGCCTTATCTCTACGGCACGGCTAGGTGTCAGTAGTGTCCGTAAAATATTGTGTAAGGGCGGTATTCTCATCTTTGTGTTAAAGGGCGTGTGCAGATGCTGGTATGGGAACGGCCACTAGGAGTGCTCATGCTCCACACAAAGAGCAAGAGAGGAAACTGTGTGGGGGATGGGATGGGATGGAGGAGAGTAGGGCAGCAGATGCTTTGCTGTGGATTAGACTGTGTAGTTGTCTTTTAGAAAACTGGGGTAGGGGAGGAGAGGAGAAAGGCACGAATATAAGAGGATGAAATGGGAGAAGCCTGAAGTCTCACACCAGGCAACTGTCAAAGAGGGATCCAGCAGTGCCATATTAAAGGAATAAAAACTCTAGAGCTCCTAGAGCCTGCGCTTTTCTCTGGCATACTTCAATATTTCTGATTTTACTACTTTTCCCCCTCTGTTCAAGTGTTTACCCATATACACTGTGAACGTCCAGCAGGGGTTCTATAGCTCCACGCAAAATCCTGTGCCATCTGTCTCTCTTTGTGTGTTGGTGTTACACGTGTCTGTGTGAGCATTAAGGTAGATCAGACCCAGATAGACAACTTTAAAAGCTCAACATCTAATACTATTGCACTAATTGAGCCGTCTTATGGTCTTAGTTTCGCTGTACTTCTGTGTGTGATGTCTGTCGGTCGGTTTAAGTCATTTTGCTCAGCTTTTTCTGTATAGATTTGTTTATCACAGCGAGTGATAAGTGAAACAGGAAGTAACTATATTTTTCAATCCTATAGTAAAATATATCTGGATTTTTTTTTTATTACTTGGCCCTCATCCAGTCTTGCATTGAGGTAAACAACTTTATTATGAATATAGAAAAAACAACTAAAAACTGAGCACAGCCCATGGTTTAGACATGTAGTTTGAGATGTAGACTCAACAACATTTTTTAATATAGGCTTGTGAGTTCCCACCAGTGTTCTAAGCCATCCTTGTCATTACTGGGAGTGGGAAAAGACCAAATGTCTTTTGCTAGAGGAGGAGAAGCTGTGCCCTCTCATCACTCTGGACTGTTTGTGCAGTTCCTATGTATGAGCATTGAGAGGTGTATGTGAGCCATGGAAAGCCTGGTAAGCCAGTCAGAGACTTTCTCAGACACGAAGGCGAGACCACATGCCATCTGCTTCATGGCTTACAGCAGGATTAAATATTGTGTATGTGTGTACGAGCTGAGTGTAGGCTGTTTGTGTTTGGGGGTTGGGAAGGTGACGACATAAACCTTTAACCCCAAGCCCTACTGCCCCCTTTCCAGACCCTTCCGTCCTATTCAGGTTCAAAAAGGAATAATTAAAACCATCTGCCTAAGTGCTGAGTTTTGCCACTGAATCCTGCCCAGCTCGTAGTCATGACAACACTCACACTTGTACTGACAGCACTGAGAGTGGGTACCCCACTTGGTTTGAAACGCCTTTTTCTGTTTATGTGCTGCGGCAGTGCAAACAATCTAAATATCAAGAGAAGCCTACAAAGAGACCACCCATACAAAAGAAAATCAAGGGTGCGTCTTTCCAAACAATGTTTCAATTCAGCATTGACTGTAGCTAAACTGGGTCACTGCTCATACAGGTTACTGTAGGTAATTTGCCAACTCAACGTGTGGATCTTATACTCACATATGTTTTTTTTGCAAATCAGAAGCAGAGATAGTTTCTAAGTTTAAACTTGAAAATACCTGAAGTGCTGTTAAGGGGACAAAGTGGCTGTCAGAGTGCTAATGAATATGATAATAGGGCATTTGAAATTATATTAGATAATTGTACGAGCAGGCAATAATTTTTGTGTTATAGAAGTTTAAACGTCACACAAGGTATTAATAACATGGGGTGTCTGTTGATGCACTGCTGATATTGTCTTTTAATGTATTTTACAGAGGGTGATGAAACTGGTATCATGGATGGCCTGTTGGAGGCTCTGCAGTCCGGGGCTGCGTTCAGGAGAAAGAGAGGACCACGGCAAGCAGGTACGCACACAGCAGCAGAGCTGTAAATCCTCTAAAAACATTACAGATGTTTCAAGTTTCCTGTATTACTTGATTTACAGATATCAGTTTCCTCCAGCATAAACGTAAGGCCTACTAGACAGAAACACATGTAACACATGAGATGGATTTATTCCCTCCCTTTTTCCACTCTGTTTCCATATTTGTGTTTTTCAGCTCTGTTAAATGCTTCAAAGGCCGTGAGCTATGGCTTTTCTTTTGGGTCATGGCTATTGGTTGCAAAGCCATGGCATCAAAGGATGACACAACAACAAATAAAGAGGGTGGTATGAGTGTTGTTTGGCAACCCATGAGTAACCATGTAAATAGGAAAGTGTCCCATACTTTCTTTCTTTCATTAGCTGGGAGTGAGAGAGAGAAAGAGAGATGCCGTGTGTTGATCCACATGCATTCTTGTGTGGGTGCTGGATTTGCACATAAGAAAGGTTGCGGAAGAGTGTGTGCAACCCGATCCCTCCCTTAATAGAAACCAGATGTTAAGCAGAGCTCCAGAGTGGAGTAGTTTAGAGACGGAAGGTAGACTGCACTGTTTTCGTTTCCTTTTTGCTCCTTTGCATCTTGCCTTGTCTTTTAGTTATTCAATTAAGAGATTTTTTAAATTTACCAAACATAATTGTGCACCAGCAGTAAAACCGGGTGCTAAGGCCCTCAGTGGGGAAGAGTTAAATACCAAGCAGCTCAGGCTCATCACCACTAAACTGACTGAAAACATGGTGAAGGGGGTAACGGGAGGGAGAACTGAAAGCTGAGAAGAAAGAATGAGGCCCAACTTGAGGGCAAACTCAACCATCCATAATACTTTTTTGGCCACCCAACAATCTTTACAGGAAAAACCTGATCATGTGATATAGAGACTGGGAGAAATAGCTTTCCTTACCACACACACTTGGATGTGGCAGGAAAGAGGAGGAAGCTTCCATGTGTCACATCCCTGCTAAATGCCTCTCCTGCTTCTCTGCTACACCAGTGTGTCATCGCTATTGTCTTTTGGCAAAGTTCCGGGGTTTTTCCATGGTCAGTACAAAGGGTGCAAAGTCATGCCGTGTTGTCCTGGTTTATTTGAAGTTTTTTGTTTTTACTGAGGTTTGTGGCTGATGTCTTAGGTCCTTACAGTTAGGGCAGGCCAAAAGGCTTTCCCTCCACACAGTGTGTCTGTTGTTTGTTTTTGTGTGACTCTATGGTTCCATTTGAGTTCTTAATTTAGTGGTGCTGAAGTCAGAGGCAGCACATCTTGGTACTTCCTCAAATACATGTTAGGCAACTTTGTGGTGAAGTTGAACTCCATTAGCAGGATAAAACATTTGTGTTGCAAGATGGAGCACAGATGAGAGCATTATTAATGTGTTGTATGTGCAGAGTAACACAAGAAGGTTTTGGCTAACGCTAGTGATGCAACATAGTGACCATTGATAGGGAATCTTTTTTTGTCAGATGACATTTACCATCTTTCACAAATTCCCATTTTGTGACATGAAGAATGTATTTTACTAGTGGAGGATTCAATCCAGCTGATGTTCAAAAGTTTGACTTTCCCTGTTCTGTAGGCATGTTTTAACTTAAAGCATTAGTCCTTTTCACACACCAGTTGTAACATGGCTTTCTCCTTAGATCAGCCCTGCATTTGTGCATCAGCTGAGTGATGACATCTTTGTTAGTTTGAGTGACATGTTCTACAAACCCAGTCCCCCCGCATATAGTCTGATGGCTCAGAGGCGTCTTCGGTCATTCTGGTTACAACAGTCAGTGTCACCAAAAGACCTGTAAGGATTAACAACCGGTGAAAAACAAATGATGTAACCTCATGACATACAGCCACGGAGGATTAGAAGAATGTTTTGTGGTATAAAGAATTACATTGATATACTAGTGGAAACATTTAAGCCCTTTTCACTTGACGGTAAGGTAAGAAGTTGCTTATTGTTGCTTAAGAAGCGGAGTGATAATACAGCAGTCACATTTTCAGTTATCTCTGTGTCCTGTTGTTGCTTGAGAGTGAGAGTCATACCAGCTAACTTCGCAGCTTTGTACCACTAACAAATTTGCTCATTTGTTTCATGCACATAAGGTAGCATTTTGATGTCTTCTTTTATTTTTATTTTTTTATCCTGCATCTTTAGTGGTTTTGGATGTTATTACAGAACAGGTTCAGTGTTTAAGGCAGAAGACATTAAATATGTGTAACAAAGTACTAATGTTTGTTATACATGATCGCTTGTAGTCATGGTGTGTAGCTTTGATTATGTGTGCAGCATGTTTTATTTTAAGATTCAGAAAACAGGTTTATTATTGTTTTGTCTTGGAAACCATTGATTACCATTGTGTACATAATGGTCCTCTTTATGAGTGTCCATCCTCTTTATTTTCCTCCCCTCACAGCTGCCTTGACTGCTAACGTCACTACTTAGACAAAAGACTACCGTGGAGCCATTAAGTGTGTTAGCATGCTTATTGTGTCACAGAAGTGCAACTGAATGGGTTGCCACGAGGCTCCGAAGGCCACACATCTACTGACCTTTGACCTGTACCTCAGCTCAGTGTGCTTGTGAAGAAAGAACAAAGTGTGTGTGGGATCCTCAGCTATCCTGCCCTCCTTCTGTCTGCCACCACCCTCTTAAACATTTACACACAAAACCCACACGCCAGATGCTTGCATGCCATTACAAAGGCACACATGGAGGTTTGCATACCAATACATGAACCCAAACAGATACGTAGGTCTTTGTAGTGGACAGATAATCTTGCATACAACACCATCATCTTCAGAGATGATGTGTGCAACTTTGATTTTTATTTTATTTTACATACATACACAGATTGTCTGCTTGGCAACAGTGGGGCAATTTTGTGTTGAGAGTAATTTAAGTGTAGAAATTAAATGCCAAACACTCTCTATAGAGCCATCTGCTGGGTCATGACCTTTGCTGGAACAGCCAATCATAGAGGCTACTAGTTGACAAAGCACCAATGACAACAGGGGGACAGAGTTAAAGAGCATAGCAACAATAGAGGCACACGTTGTCTGCTCTTAGAGAAATGGAAAACAGTTTCCCCTCACAGTATCTGTGCTGTCACAAACTAACAATTAGTTCTAACCCACAAATGAAACTCATTCAGATCAGGAGGAGAACTCTCATGAATCAAACAATAACTGAAACTGTGGGGAAGTCACATACATAATTACAGAGTAGCCTGTCTCAATCTCTCGACCCATCACAGAAAGTCCTTCCATTCAGATCAATACAGTCCCACAGACACCAGGCGGCAGAGATGCCAGGTGACGTCACCATTTCCCACAGTCCTTTGCTGCAGAGCATTGCTGTGATACCCACAGTCCCCTCAGGAGGGCGATATGAGTCCCTGCTATGTGGGGGACACTTGTAGGGTCTGTCTACATGCGCAGATACACAATCATCTCTGTAGTGGTTCTGTCAGTGTTGTGCTGTGGCTTTGGGTCTGCTACCCACTCTGCACAATAAACATAACACATATAAACATCTGTTCACTGTCATACAGAGCAGATACACAATAGATTGTGGTAATATCTGTGATAAATAAGAGGAAGACCGTTTCCTGAGCACTTCTCATCGTCACACGTATGCTAACAATTTTTTTTCATGACTTTTGTCTCCGTCTGTTTTTACCGACATAAAGGTGGCAAGACGTACTGCACAACAAAGCGTTCCTTCCTTTCATCAGGTAGTCATTAGTTAGACTCCTGGAGGGTAATGTGTTACAGATGATCCTTTCACTACACAGAGTGCTTCCGACCATCCTACGGTATGCAAACACTCAGTCCTGAGTAAACACACCATCAACAGTCATTGTTGTCAACCCCATAAACCTGTTTCTGCAGCCACTGGTCTTAAATCTGAGACCATGGAGCATTAACATCAGCGCTAATTATTGTCCTAAGCATAAAATGAGATTTTCTTGTTCACACAGTCATGTGGTGAAGGCGGGGCTGTTAGCCCGTTTCTTTTGTTTGGAAGCCTGAGAATAAACCAGAGAAATGATCAGAGTACAAATGTGTACTCTATTCAGGTCACAGGTAAAGTAAATCAGCCCTGGGCTCTAATTGACAAAGCTCCCAGTGGAGCTCTATCATAAAAGAGTCCAGATATCCGGGTGTGATAGACATTTATCTTCTTGGGCTGTGCCTGCCCCGTACAAAAAGGGACGAATCTGAGTCTTATTGGCCAGAACCCTCTGATATTTTCAGGCCAGCTCCCAATTCATGCAGATTCCACAGAGATGTGATAAGAAATGTGTGTGCATGTGTGTATTGGTTTGAAGACGTGTATCCAAAGTCACAGAAAAAAAGAGGACTTTGGAAGCACTAATAACAAGAGTTCTGTGTATGAGTAATATTCTTAAAATGAACAAAACTGTGAGTAATTTACATGAATTTCAGTAATAAAGTGAAACTATAAAGTTATTAAATATGAAACAATTCTAACAGGGCTGAGGGATTCTAAGAGAAAAAGTGGAAGAAGTCATGGCTGTAGGTGCATCGATTGTTTTTCAGTGTGAAAAAACTCCTGGATGTTACATTTCACCAGCAATGGGTTTCTCTCAGGCTTTTTAATGAATGGGATCTTTTAGTTGTGTTTATAATAGACAGCTTCAGCAATTCATGAGTTAAGCAATTATCAATGGAAATTCACACTTAGAGCTACTTTGCTTAGTGTTTCCTTCTCACTTTTAAACGTGGGGAAAAAAGTGCCAAAATACATTGGTGACCTTTCCCATATAAAACACTGAAAGATCAGAGTTAAGATCTAACACCGTCATACATTCCAAAGGGTTCAGTATCTCACCCATTTGTTTAATCGGCCTTGCACTGTTTTGTGTTGCTCTACATCCACTTTGCTCTGCGTAATTGTATGCAGGTTTTAGAAGATGCTCCATTTGAAGAAAGACGTATTCACTTTCACATATTGCTGCAAAAGCAAATTTTCAGATTTTGATGTCTTGAGTTTTACCCCTATGACAGTCAAAACTATGTTCCAAACATATTTTCCAGCTCCTGTTTAGAGACAAGTTCATCTACTAATATCTCAGTATTTTACTTTGTGCCACTTAAGCTGAAGATTATGTATGTATGATCCAGGTGAGTTTTACTGTATGTTTCCATACTAATGTCAAGACCTCACCATATTTTAGAGAAATCCTGTGACATTTAAACCTTTTCAAATAGAGGATTTTCTAGTCCTTTTTCCCCGCTTTACTTTAGTCGTCAGATTCCAGTGCAAATCCATAATTTTCCCATGCTGCCTTCTCTGATCCCGCTGCCTCTTCCTCCTCTGTCCTCTCTACCCAGAGGGAGTGGAGGAGGATAAGAGAGGAGAGGAGCAGCCTTGACAGCCTTTGAAGAGGGTTTTTTCTCTGTGGGTTAGAATTTGTAGGACAAGCTTTACATAGTGCAAATATATAATAATACCCATGGAGACTCACTCTGTTTCTCCAGGTTTTTGGGTCGTTTTCATAATTTTTAATTAGTAAGTTTAAGAACAAAAAGCTTGAGAGGGACAAAATTAGACATGGAGATAAACTGTCACTGACTGTCAGATTCAGGAGAGGAGAAATAGGTCTCTCATAGACTGATGCTTGATAAGTCCACTGTGGAACTGATCCGTCCAGCTATGACATCCAACTGCAGTGGGAACAGTCCTGACAAATCTTTCTTCTCTGCTCTTTCTGTAGACTCTGTTGTGTCTTTATCACAGCTAGTTCTGGAAACCTGTTCGGTAAACCTGAGTGTGTGGGGGGTTTTTTTGTGTGTTTTGCCAATCATGCCACAAGTCTGTGTTTTGCTGTGTCGCTGCGAATCATTTGCATGTGTGTTTGTACTGGTTTACTAGATTTATTTGTCTTTCTGTATATATTTTCTCTGTATTTCTAACATGTTTGTTCTGTACTGGTTATATATCTTTAGTTTGAGGTAGTGAAGGGCCCTGAATATATACCTGCATTAAAATAACAGCCAACACATAAGCACAATCTCCCACTGACCTATATAATTCAAAATGGCTGCTGCTGCTGCACAGCTGTCCTCCTACGCAGGAGAGTAAAGAGTGTCAGGGAAAAGGAGAGAAAATGTGATAATGCTGCTGCCGTGTGTGGGAGGAGAGGATGTAGCAGGTAGACTAAGAGCAGCGGCGCCTTCAGGGCACAATCCATCACACTTGTTCTGTTGCTTTGCATCTCCCTGCTCCTAATCTCCTCTATGCCTCCTCTGTGCCGCATGATGCGTTTTCCGACTTTTTTCTGTCATTCTTTTGTCATTCCTCCCAGTTTATATCTCCTCTGACTCGGTCTCTCCATCCCCTTGTCTCAGGTTCATTCATTCATCCCACCCTCTTTAATCTTCCCACAGTATGAATCATCCTTCTCTCCACGGTGCCTCACCCTCTCTCTTACCATTTCCCTACACCTCATCATTCCCACTTTCACTGCGGTCATAAGTCTCTTGCATCTTTATTTTGTGCCTCTTCATTAAGATCACATCGACTTTAATCCAACAGCGAGTAGCTCTGGATTATATACTAATCCACATACATAGACGATCATACACACGTCTTTGTGGCACGTGTTTGCAGGACAGAAAGGGTCCATCTCTGATCTGATTATTCCCACAAAGGACTTTTAAAAAAGAATACCCTTTAAAGTTTGTTGTGTTACGCTGTGTGCTGCCTTGTGGCTGGTATATGGACTAATCAAAGCTTTAGATTTGAAAATGTTATATACAGTGTACGGATGGTGATGTGCGGAGGTTTAACTAACTGGCTAATTCCCTTTTTGCATGAGACTGACATGTCTGCATGAGCTGGTTTTTTTATTACACTGTCATTATTTGTTTATCTCATTTTTTTATGTTTTCTTTCCCAGCAAACCACCGACGAGCTGGTCATGCAGTGACCAACATCCTGGCCAAAGAGCTGATGCAGGAGGACACGCCTTCGTTTAGTAAAGGGAAGGCAAAGTCAGAGAAGGAGGAGCCAAAACAGGAGGGAGCAGAGTCCTTAGAGGAGCTGCTGGAGGCTTCCCATTCTCGGTCAAGTTAGTCTCCAAGTTAGAAAGATTTTACTCAGTCAGTGCTATTCAATACAGATAGATCATTCTACGGCATTTGAGGGGCCAATATCAGACTGACTTCATTTTACTGCAGTTTTCCATCACTTTTATGAGAAGGACCTTGTTTTAGGACGGTGTTGATTTTCCTATGGGATGACTGCTTCCCCCTCAGCCTCCATTATGTTGTCTGCACCAACATTTTGAGATTTGCCAGTGTCATAAGGATCTGATTGCTTCCTTCATCATATGCACATAACTGTTCTTGTCTTTTTGCATGTCACAATTAGTCTTTAATTCATCATTTATATTACCTACACTCATCGAAGGGCACCATTCCAAATATCTACTCAGGAGGGATCCACACTTTTTTGTTTAGTTTTTTTCTGTGTTGTCATCATTCCCAAACGTCCCACTGGTGGTTCAGTGTGCTCTCTGGATATTGAAGCCTTGCCTTTGAGCTTCCTCTGTTTTGTCCAAAAACAGATGAAATGTAATTTTGTAGCTTTTGTTTTTCATTACTGTTTCCTACGGTTTGAATTATTTTGCTGTATACATCACAAAGTGCCAACCGATTTAAAGACCAGTGTTACTATTTCACTTGTATGTGCGCCCACTTACAGTTCACGCCGGACTGGCTTGTGGGTCACCTTATCAACAGCACTCGTCACCTGCGTTTGTGTTTCAGAGGGCTTTTTCGTTCCCTCTGCTAGGGGATTAAACTCACAGATGAACGTATGATTTGGAATTGCTATGAAAATGGTGATCACTTACATCAGGAATTTGTTGCAGCTATGGAAATGGAAAGCATTTATTTCTAGCATGTTCTTATCCACCCTGCAGGGAAGTAAATGAAGATGGGAGAGTCAAACCAAAAAAGGGTGTTTCCAAACAAATATGCTGTAGCCTAGCAGTTTACATGCCTGTGTTTTTTTTATGTATGTATGTAAAATCTGAGTGTGAAATTAGCCGCCTATATTTAGTTTTGTGTGCACAATCAACTTTCTCAATGAAAGTTTGAGTCTGTGTGCATATCCATCTGTAATTACTGTATGGTACCAGCCATGCTGTCATGAATGATAGCGTTGTGGTCTTTCTGCTGAGAATATAGCACACTGGAAAATAGCCCAGAAACCGCTGAGAGAAGTATGTGTGTTTGTTCACTTGTCAGCGTGTGTTCACCACTCTCCCTCCCACTGAAATGCAACAGTAGTCTCTGAATGTCTGGACTTGCTCCTATTTGTATTTTCCAGCCATCAGCATGGGTGTTGCCATGGTGTTGGAGCGTAATATCTGACACGGAGTATGAGTGGTGACGTCAGCGGCTCCATTCAATAAATATTCCTATGCAAAACCATCAATGAGGTGATACAGGGACAGCTCCTGGATGTATAAAGCATCAGTGCTTCACACAGCTGCTGGCTGAATGTGAGGAGTACTCCTATTAGAAATTAATGTTTTTTTTTGTTTTTTTTAGGAAGTGGCACTTAAACACCATCAAGAGAATGTCTGTAACGGTTATAGGCCCTTTTTCTGATTGGGTGCTGGTGTTTTGTTTTAATCCAGAAAAAATAAACTTTCCGGTAATATGCACAAAATTTCTCATCAGACAAAAACGCCGTTATGTCTGTAATATTTTCCCCCCGAGTTCAACAGATGACACCAGGTGACCGCGGGGACCCGATACTGGAAGTGAAAGAGAGGCAGATTGATAGACTGGAACAGATCTAAGCATCACTGGATTATTTGTCCTGATTTGAGCTCTTCCTTTTGTTCAGTAATGTTTTTTCATTTTTAAGAGATTGTTTTCTATTTTAATTTTAATGATTATTTTTAACGTATTGGAATGGAAATTGCTTTTGTTTGTTTTTTTCCTTTCAAAGATTGCTTTATGGATACAGGATAGTGCACACCTTCATTCTGTTTGTTACACCGAACCATTAAAGATGTCTTAACTAATTAATACATTTTTATTTGGTCATTCTTGGGTCGCGTCATATCTCTGTAACATCCGTGTGATTTTTGCCAGAGTAACTTTATTTTAAAGCCCGTTTCTTCATGGTTCTCCCAATCCTCTCTACTCCTCCCACTCTTTCTAATGTAAACAGTGTGCAGTAAAATACTCGCTGCAGCCTGCAATTCTGTCATTTTATAGCCACGAAGCAGCACAAGAATGAATAAACAGCAGGACTGCTTATTTTTACAGATAAAGCCATGGAAAATCCTGGCTCCAGAGATATTTTCCAGCACTGATTGCCAGTATTCAGAAAGATACCTCCTCTGTGTGTGTGTGTGTGTGGAACAAACATGCAGAAAAATGTGGATAACTAATGATTTGGGCAGTTTTCTGTTGTTTTTTTTCTTCTCTGCCCCTTCTCCATTTCTTTTGACACCCCTCCCTTACTTGCCCACACGTGTTTTATTCATACATGAAACTCCTCACATCAGAACTGTCAGCTGAGTTTAAGCACACACAATTGAAGCTGAATCTACTTCAGACACTGTTTTGGTTTTTAGGGAAAAGTTATTTGAACTTTGAATGTCACAATGGATACTTTGATATTCTAATATTAACCATATTCAAAACTTTTCCTTCCACACTGTATGCAGTATATACTTTTGCTCAAACTCATTCTGGGTAAGCAACAGTCGAAGTCATGTGTGGTACATTGATGGTGTTTTATTAAACACTTTTTCAGTCCAGTTGAAAGCACAAAGTTTTTTTTCATCAGAAACATGCCCCCATTATAACAACATGCAGGCTTCCGAGTCATTCCCTCTTTATTCCAGGGATGGTGGCATCATCATTTTCCAAAAATGTCACATTCTGATTGCCTTTGGAGCTCTGTGGCTGTCATTTTCAAATCAACTTAGCCCCAGATGGGGTGGTGGCATAAAGCTTCTTTGAATTTTTGGAGGGTTTTTGTGCTTTACCGCATATATTGTATTAGATGTATTTTAATCTGAAGCTTATTGGATGAAAAGGGGAGCGAAGATAGCCATGGCGAAGTGAATAACTGATTACAAAGCTGAGGATTTTGTTCCCACCGAGAGTCTTACGGGAGCTCGAAAGAACAGACACCCTGCCTGCTGTGTAAACTTTGTTGTTTGTTTTGTTCATTTGCATCTCTGCGTGGCGAAGCCTTCAGGTGTGTTTTCAGATAGGTGGGGCTCTGTGCACATGGCGCTGAAGGCAGCTAGAGTGATCTGAAAAACAAACAAGGTGTGTGATCGGAACAAAATTTCTAGACATCAGCTTTTACAAGTTGACAGTCCCATCTCACACAGTCAGCCCCGGAAGAAGTGGATCAATCCTGCATTTTATAAACAAAATCTTGTATTGTAATGATTGTGTAGATGTAAACCATGCTCTATTTCACTTTCAGATTTAAAGCTCAGATCGCTAACTGGTTCAAGAAAAAGCATTTTTAGCACTAATTTAACACTCTCAAACAAACATGGAATATTTCTTTCACAGGAACTACTACTCATGAGTCATTGCTTAGTAACATACAACTGCAAATGTGCTTATAGATTTTCAAATCAAGTAAATCAGATCGAACAGAGAAACTGAATGAAACACACAGGTACAGACTAACATACAGAACGGAGAAATGTATGCACTCACATGTATAGACTAAATGGTTCAATTCAAAAGTGCAATAATCGAGAAAGAATCAACAAATGCTTAGTTTCAATTCAATTCAATTCAATTTTATTTATATAGCGCCACATCACAACAACAGTTGTCTCACAGCGCTTTCCAAACAGAGCAGGTCAGACCCTACTCTGAAGTTAACTACAGAAACCCAACAATTCCCACCATGAGCAAGCACTAGGCGACACAGGCAAGGAAAAACTTCCTTTTAACAGGCAGAAACCTTGAGCAGAACCATGGCTCAGGGTGGGCGGCCATCTGCCTCGGCCGGTTGGGGGTGAGGGGAAAGAGAGAGCGAGAGAGAGAGAGAGGGCGAGAGAAGGACAGAAGGAGCAGAGAGGGGCAGCCAACACAGCAACACGTAGAATAGATTAAAAATGGCAATGATATTAATGCTAATGATGAGCAGGAACATGGGGGCAGCAGGAAACTCCCAACCACAGATCCAGACTCCACAGCTCTAGGAACACCTGCAGGAAGTGATAGGAGGAGACTCCCAACCACAGATCCAGACCCCACAGCTCCAGAGCCAGGAATATCTGCAGAAAGTGTTAGGAAGAGAGAGAAGAGAGAAGGGGGACGAGAAAGCACACGACTACGGGGAAGGGAGAGAGTCCAGTTAGTAACATTGTTAATGGAATGAGGTTGCACCGGGAGGGAGAGAGAGAAAGGAAAGGGGAGCTCGGTGCATCATGATGCATCCCCCGGCAGTCTAGGCCTATAGCAGCACAACCAGGGGTGGACTTACTCTAACTATAAGCTCTATCATAAAGGAAAGTCTTAAGCCTACTCTTAAATATAGAGACGGTGTCTGCTTCCCGGACCCAAACTGGAACCTGGTTCCACAAAAGAGGACTCTGATAGCCGAACGCTCTAGCGCCCATTCTAGTTTTCAAGACTCTAGGAACTGCCAGTAACCCTTCATTCTGGGAGCGCAGTTCTCTGGTAGGGCAGTAAGGTACTAAAAGCTCTTTAAGATAAGATGGGGCCTGACCATGAAGAGCTTTATACGTAAGGAGAAGGATTTTAAATTCTATTCTGGATTTAACAGGAAGCCAGTGCAAAGAAGCCAAGACAGGAGAAATATGATCTCTTTTTCTGGTTCCTGTAAGAACACGTGCTGCAGCATTCTGGATCAGCTGAAGAGTCCTAATGGACTTTTTTGAAGACCCTGATAACAAGGAATTGCAGTAATCCAGCCTAGAAGTAACAAATGCATGGACTAGTTTTTCTGCATCATTTTTACACAGGATGCTCCTAATTTTTGCAATATTACGAAGGTGAAAGAAGGCGGTTCTTGAAATTTGCTTAATGTGAGAGTTAAACGACATGTCCTGATCGAAGATAACTCCAAGATTTCTCACAGTGGTGCTGGAGGCCAGGGCGATGCCATCCAGGGAAACTATATCTCTAGATAATGCGTCACGAAGGTGTTTAGGCCCTAGAACAATAACTTCAGTTTTAGCTGAGTTTAACATTAGAAAATTGCAGGTCATCCAGGTTTTAACATCCTGAAGGCACATTTGAAGCTTAGCTAGCTGATGAGTTTCATCTGGCTTGATCGATAGGTATAACTGAGTATCATCTGCATAGCAATGAAAGTTGATAGAGTGTTTCCTGATAATATTACCTAAAGGAAGCATATATAAAGTAAAGAGGATTGGTCCGAGAACGGATCCTTGCGGAACTCCGTGGCTAACTCTGGCATGCATGGAGGACTCATCGTTAACATGCACAAACTGAAACCGATCTGATAAATAGGACCTAAACCAACTTAGAACGGCTCCTTTAATTCCGATGAAATGTTCCAGTCTCTGTAGTAGGATCTGATGGTCAATGGTGTCAAAAGCAGCACTAAGATCTAATAAAACCAAGACAGAGACGAGTCCTTTGTCTGATGCCATTAGGAGGTCATTAGTAATTTTCACCAGTGCGGTCTCTGTGCTATGATGAGCTCTAAATCCTGACTGAAAATCCTCAAACAAGCTATTGCTATGTAGATAGTCACACAGCTGTTTGGCTACTGCTTTCTCCAGGACCTTGGAGATGAATGGAAGGTTGGATATAGGTCTATAGTTGGCTAAAACATCTGGGTCCAGGTTAGGCTTTTTCAAAAGAGGCTTAATTACAGCAACTTTAAAGTACTGTGGCACATAGCCTGTTAATAAGGACAGATTGATCACGTCTAGCAGAGAAGTACCGACTAAGGGTAGGACTTCTTTAAGTAACCTAGTCGGGATGGGATCCAAGAGGCAAGTTGAAGGTTTGGATGAAGAAATGATTGAAGTTAGTTGACAAAGATTGAGGGAAGCAAAACAGTCAAAACATATAACTGGTTCTGGTCCTACAGTTACTGAGTTTAAAGATAAGTCGATGCTAGTTGAGGGCAAGTCTTGGTGGATTTTGTTCCTGATAGCTAGAATTTTATCGTTAAAGAAGCTCATGAAGTCATGGCTAGTGAGAGCTATTGGAATACTTGATTCAATAGAGCTGTGGCTCTCAGTCAGCCTGGCAACAGTGCTGAAAAGAAACCTGGGATTGTTCCTATTTTCCTCAATTAAAGACGAGTAATATGCTGCTTTGGCATCACGGAGGGCCTTCCTATAAGCTTTAAGACTATCTTGCCAAGATAAACGAGACTTTTCCAGCTTGGTTGAACGCCAGTTCTTCTCAAGTTTCCGAGATATCTGCTTTAATTTGCGGGTTTCACTAGTATACCATGGAGCTAACCGTCTTTGTTTAAGAATTTTCTTCTTTAGGGGGGCTACAGCGTTAAGAGCTGTTCGCAGCGAGCCTTCAACACTATCAACAAGATGATCAACTTGGGAAGGACTGAAATTAACATAAGAGTCCTCTGTTTCTGTACGGCTTGATAATGGATGTAGAGCTGATGGAATCACATCCTTAAATTTAGCTATAGCACTATCAGACAGGCATCTTGAGTAGACATTTTTACCCAGTGGAGGGTAATTCAGCAGTAAAAGCTCAAAAGTTAGCAAACAGTGGTCAGATAAAGACGGATTATGTGGGAACACTATTAAATGTTCAATTTCAATACCATACACCAGAACAAGATCAAGGGTGTGGTTAAAACAGTGAGTCGGTTCATGAATACTCTGAGAGAAGCCAATGGAATCTAACAGAGAGATAAATGCAGTACTGAGGCTGTCATTCTCAACATCCACATGGATATTAAAGTCCCCTACAATAATTACTTTGTCCGTTTTAAGGACTAAAGTTGACAAAAACTCTGCAAATTCAGATAAGAATTCAGAGTATGGACCGGGTGGTCGGT